AATCAGCAGCAACGGCGTGTGGTGCAAAAAACCCGAATGACCGCACCAGTCGAACGGTGAAAATGGCAAAACGGCAAAACTACCAGAAATATGCATCATCCACGCACTCTGCTCTCAAAGAGCAAAGAGAAAAAACAAAGAGATGCTTGAATGAAGCTACATATCAGAAAGTAAATGTACATTTGTATGTGGGATGTTTATATTTAATGTATTGTTTATTGGATAGATGTTTAGCATATAATGAATGTTTAATTGAATTATTTCTTTAATATAAAACTACGACTTATTTCAGTTGCATGGAAATACCGACGCAAAATGTGACATTGCCGAAAGCTCTCTGAGCGGCGTCTTCGCTCTCGCTTTTGCGATATCCTCTTTGTTCTGCTCTCTGCTCTCTTGGGGTGGTCCGCGCAGACCAAAATGCATAAACGTGTGTGTGTGTGTGTGTAAAAGCATAGATATGCATTCAGGCTTGAAACCGTTGCAAACTTCAGCTGTGAGAGCAAGCCGATGCTTTATATATTTCTCAATGATTAATAGAGCAGTGATGTGCATGTTGAAAGCTTCGTTTTGACTTCGATGCGAGCGACGCATGCGTAATCGTCTGTGAAGCCCGACTGTCCTGCATTTGACACTGAACAATTAATGAAGTGTGGCTCCTAACGATGAAGATGAGACACAGATGTGCTTATGCAACCACTCATCGATTAACACCACCAAACATATTGTCAGTGTCGGCCGCCATCGCTCTTTACGCGGGCCTAACTAATACGCACAACAGCCACAGCCACAGCTGCTGGTGAAAGTGAAAGGTGAACAGCACATGCATTGCAGCAAAATATTTGAAAAATTGAATTAAAGATGAAAAACGATGCGCATACTTATTGGAGGAGGTAGGAGGAGTAGGCGGAGCTGGAGCGGAAGCAGTAGGCCAGCTGTTTTACACTTGGCAGCCTTGAGCCTTAATTCAGACTTGAACCCACAAAGCAAGCGTGCATAAAGCAACAAAAGTAAAACAGCAACGGCAGTCGCATCAAGGTCGTTGAATCGAGCATCTGCGCGAAATCCAGTTTGTTCATTTATCTGCCCACAAAGGAGACAATGAAAAAAGCCACAAGCCGCATGGACGACCCATGCCTGGAGAACAGGGATGGGGGGGGCGAATGTCACTTTTACTTTCATTCTTGTTACTGCCTGCAGAGATTCATGAATAAGGGGGAGACGCACATACATACATATGTATGTATGTAAGATTACCGAACTCTTGTGTATCATTATCCACAAGTGACCTTGAAATATTGATCCGTGTCCGCCCAAAATAGCAATCTAAAGTTAATGATAATGTGTCTACCTTTCTAAAACTGTTAAAATATGGTTCCGGAATGACCTTGTGATTATGCTTACAAGAACAAGCGTCGCCGCAGCCCAACTTTGTCTCTTCACTGATCCACAAATATGCAAACCATGATTTGGACCTCAAATTCCATGCACTTTTTTGAAATGGCTTTGCGCATTTGTACGTGGTATGCTTGCTCATGTCGCCACAGCCAACTAGGGTTAGATACAGACAGACAGTGCCTGGTGTGGACTACACGGTGCTTTGCTTTTGACACCTTTTCTCTCTTCGACCTTCGATTTTAATGAATTTGTATATGTATATGTAAATTCGTATTCGTGAGCAGTGCATAAACTACGAAAATAACAGGACCACGCTTAAGACAAACAAAAACGAGGAGGAACGTTGTGAGACGCTACGCACGCGTCACTACTTATGCTCATTATTGGAATGTAGAGAATAGATGTGGAACGATGCCCCAGAACTAAGTACCATTCACTCATAAGAAACAAAACATTTAGAGCATTGGCTGACCTGATTATTCAGCCAACTCTGTGCAAAATATACTATGACATTGTCTCATTTTTGTACTCCTTATTGAGCAGTAATGTCCGACTTTGCATCATATTTCCACACAAGTCATGGCGAGCGTGTGGCTTTGTTATTTCGCATTGTGATGGCACAATGTGTAACACCAAATAGAATGTCCAGCACAGCCTGTCTAATCAATTATAGTGGCATGCAGCTCGGGTGTCTATCCACGAGTGTTGAATGCAACGTGGCGTGAATGTGAAATACGCATAAAATAATCATAAAAATTAAAAGTCTTTTACGCAATCCACATACAACGTTTCAGCTGCTAGAGGCATTGTTGTTGAAGTGTTGTAGTGAAAGAAAAGAGAGAAATATTTGGCCGTGGCACGGCGCAGGGGCAGGGGCAGTGGCAGTGGCAGGTGTGAGATTGTTAAGTGGAGCAGCCCGAGCCGCGTCGGTCCTCATGTAATTCCACGACACGACGCATACAAACGTCAAAGCTCTATTCACATTGGTTATGGATGTTTGTCGGGGCTGGGGCAATGCTTTAATAGATTGCTCATTGCAAGAGCGAAAATAATTTGCAGCTACGGCAACATTTCAAGGTGCATTTCAAGGTGAGCAACATCATTAAGACCTTAGACAGCTCTTAGGGCAATCGTTAAGCATGGGGGCATGTTGGGTGATGTAGGCATAGGACCCATCAAATATTTATACCTCCAAATCTAACTCAAATTAACCGTAGCCTTTCGCAATCTTAATCGAAATCAGGCACTGTGTGGAAACTCTAGCCCGTATGAGAAAGCGAAAGTGCACCGAGCACTCGAGCCCATTAGTGCTCGGTGATTGCATGCAAAACAAAGTTGCGCCATGCCATGTACATGTGCATGAATAAAGCGTTCACATTACACTCCACATTCGAGGAGAGCCTGGCCAAGTAATTTAATGACTGTCTTCCGCATGATCCAAACACTTTCGCACGGTAAGCATTGACATGTGGCCGGCCTGTGGTAACACATGAATGGCGGGGGCGTGGTGGCAGCTGCAATCACTGCATTGGCATTGACACTTCAAGTACCCAATCACCAGAGGACTGAAATTAAGTTAGCTGCAGCTGACAGTTCTTTCGCTTAGCTGCTTTCGCTCTGGAAAGTTTTCGTGGCATTTTCTACAACGCTTCAGCGCAGACAGACCCACCAAGCGACCTTTCGTTAACTTGTAGAAATGACATCAAAGAAATTCAAAATATTGTCACTTTCTCAGCCAGCAGCCGCTCAGTCTACGCTTTATGCTTTATGGCTTTTCTTTGGCTCTTTATTTATGTTTATTGCTTTGTGTTATACGCATTTGTTTCTGTTTTATTGTGTCATCAGTGGCAAGAAATGGTTGCATGCTTCGTTTATTACAACGACTCTGGCATTGACAAGTGTCAAGACAAGTTCCGCACATTCTCTAATATTTAAATATGTTCATGTGTAGCCTGTGGCGACTGCTCGCTCACAACAATGGTTTTGGCAACGACTTAGCGTTGAACAAACAATCAATTAGGAGGGAAGTCTTTCGCTTTCACATACTCAACCACAACGGGTTCAACTTCAATTAAATTATGCAGCAACGAAAGCGAACTTTGAGGTTTCATTGTGACTTCTATGTACTCCACAGGGTGAGGGAAAAGTACATATTAAATGCACTTATATTCTGCCCATTTATCCACCTGTAAAATACCCACAATATTTGGTTGACGTTCCGATAAAAAATGAAAGTGGAATAGACGAAGCCAGTGGCCACAACCAAATGAGGAGCAGTGGGTGTGCATGCGCTCACTTTTAATTACTTGCACGTAATTTTGATATTAATTTGTATTTTGATTGGAGAGAGAGAAAGTCCGCGCACTAAACCCAAAAGCAAACACTGCAAATGAAGACCCAAAGATTGAGTTTCAGTTCTTTCAGTTATTTTTGCTTATTTAGTCCACCTGTTTCAGTATTACAGCGAACAACGATTTGGTTATGCTGTTTTTGGACAAACAATTAAGTGAACTGTTTGTGAATTATTAACAGTTATTATAACCGCAATTTGCTAGCCTACACCGACACGCTCACTCACTCAAATATTTATTCACATTCACAACTCATTCAGTGCCATTCAGGGCAGTGTGTTGTTGTGTGCAATTAATATCTGTGCCATAAGCTGGTTGGCTGATTGGCATAACTTACATAAGTCCATTACCATTACCAAGCATTTCGTGGAGTGGACAACCCGAGCCAGCTGACCAATAGCTTGACATGCTTTCGGCTTCGGCTTGTTATGCTCGAAATGCTCGATTATGTTATTGTTTCGCCTGGTAAATAGAGCAGGTGATCAGATACATATGCGAGTACATTTAATTAGTTAGCCCCTTACGTAAAAACAAATACAAATTTCAATGGATTGCATTTCGCGTTTGGAAAGGAAACTTTGGCTTGGGATCCCAGCAAGTGCCTCGCCAGCTGGTGGCTTGACTTCTTCCAAAAATATTATTGACTTGACATCAGATTGCTTGTGAGTGTGCGCGCGGCTGTGCCGGTGAAACAAGTTTGTCTGCCGTCTATGTGTGCATTTCCATAACAAAGTACCGCATATGTTTGAGGCATCATCTCATCGACGAAACAGAATAATCATAATCGTTAATCATGCACACTTATGCACATATAAAATATGCGATTCCCGCTCAGATACGACAGACAGAAATAAGTCAGATCGCGGCTGACTCTTACTTTCTTTGGAATCGCCTCAAATGAGGTAACAGCAAATCCATTTTAATACAATACGCAACCAAACATTATTATTCCAATGAAATGCAGTCGTGTGCACGAGAGCAAACACCACCCCAAAAGAAAAGTTTGCCAAAACATTCAAAATTCGACTGCACAAACCGGGCAGGGCAGTGCATTGACTTGGAAATCAGCCAAGCGGCCAACACGAGTTCATTGGATCACAAATAGTGCGTTCCACTATTGCAGCATCCTCGTGTGTGTGGGGTCTTGGAGCCTTTCATTTTGTGCTAGCAAATATGATTCAGCATTTTCCTACAGAGAGAGAGAGAGAGAGAGAGCGTTGAGAGCTCTTCTTCCAGAACTGTGAGGCTTACCTGCTTTGAATATCAGTAGACATAATCCCAGCAGCCATAGAAAACTCATTCGATGTGTTGAAAACTCCATGTTGCCGTCGTCGTTGTTGTTGTTGTTGTTGTAAACTGTAACTGTAACTGTAACTGTAAATTTTTGTTGGCGTTTCTTGAGGTTAGTTCACAGAACCTAAAAATATCAATAGACAACCTCACACAGCGAACAGCACGGGGCCAGAACGGGGAGCAGAGTCAGTTGCTGTTGCAGTTGCAACAACAACAAAAAAGCTCTGTTTCGGTTGCATACAATTGGTAAATAACTAAGAAGGCAGTTTCGCAGTTTCGCAATTTTTCAATTTAGATTTTTTGTTGCTTTTGTTTTCGTGTCTTGTGTTACAATTTTCTTGAATGTGGCTGTGCCTGTGGCTGTGGCTACACTTTATACGGTCGTTGTTTTGGTATTGTTGTGAGTAGATGCAGTTGTTGCCCCTATTATTTGAGCTTTCGTTTGTGGCTTAGAAGCAACTGCACTGCAACACACAGTTCACACACACGTTCACTGATTACAACACTTAGTTTTTGTTTCTCTCTCTCTCTCTCTCTCTCTTTTGGTTTTGGCAAGCGCTTTTTCAGTATTTTCAGTTTTCCACTCTGAGCTGCTGCAGTGGCCGAAAGGTAGGCTCAGCAGAAATGCAAAGAGACAAACGATAGATCGAAAACGAAGATCTGCCGTTTGCTGCCATGATTCAGATTTTCCCATACGGCGTACGGGTATTCGCGGGCACTACCAAATCGGAAAAACTTTGCGATGTGCGAACGAGTCTAGAGTGTGGCGAAGAAAATGCGAAGCAAAATAAAACAAAACTTGCACATTTTTTTTATATTTTTTTTGTTTGTTTGTTGATGCTTGTACATTTAGCAAAAAACTTTCTTTTCGAAGCAAAGCGAGTCTACCGATACACACGCTTGTGCTGTGCTCTGTGGGCTGTGCGCTGGGGCTGGTGCTCTGCTCGCAATGCAGCTGTGCGCCTGCCTGCTTTCTATGTACGATTTATTGGTCGAGTGCAATAGTCGCAGACAGCAGACAGCAGACACCATACGCATATAATAATAATAATAATAATCTCGATTCGGATATCTTTTTTCGATATTCGCGTTAGCACGTTTAGTGAATTCATATGACCCTCGCGAATATGCCTCTTACCGTGCGCTTGAGCGAACCACACGTCCTAATCGGAGCAACTATACAACGCGACTGTGCGGAGCAAGTGTCTCAAGACACTCGGCAAGCTCAGACAGGCGACGCCAAGTTTCGGCCCCAAGCTTGGGCCCCCCCCCCAACTTCGTCGTGAGTCGTGGTCTGTTAGCGTTACTGTTACTTAACAGTGCCTGCTGTTGCTGCTGTTACTGCTGCTGTTAATGTGTTTCGCCGTTCGTGTTTGCTTTGGCACTTTGCTATCTCTTAAGCTTTTGAAAGTAAGAGTAAAGCTTGTTACATTTTTGGCAAACACTAGCACAGCAATCAAAGAAGTCCCTACCGAATTTCTTTTCTCTTGTTATTTCTGTATTATTTTTCCATTCAAATAATCATTTTACCCACAGTGCTTGAGCGTGTGCAAACCAGATGCTGCTGGCTAGTCTGTTTAGTTGGGTGGTTTCTCTCGAACCCCAACTCCAGCGCCAGCTGCACACCTCCCCCGAGCCTCTCTTAGCCTCTGGTAGCCCGGTATTCGCTGTGGGGATTGTGAAATATTGTTACCGTTCAGACATATTCATTTGCAGCACAAGGCCTTTCTTATTTGCACAAATTCCACTGTTTCAGAATGGAGTTTTGTTTGGTAATAATTTCAATGTTCTTGCCCATGCCCATGTGGCAGTGAACTTTCACATGTTGAGCATAGAACCATTCGTCCTTGGTGGGTGGGTTACAAGCCCACAAAGCAATGATCAGAAACTCAATGTGTTTGGCTGAACATTAACATTAATTGAAAGTGAAACCGTGCACGAAACACGGCATCGGCCCAGAACTGGGCCAAAGCGAGCGACCGACAGCCAAGAGCGAGTCCGTTTGGGCTTCGGTTGGGCATTATATATTTCATTCTGCATTCACTTATATATTTCACACGATTTATTCTGCAAGGCGTTGTGCTCTGTATGAGAAGTTGTCTAAATTTCACAGTTGAGCCAACATGAGGTCGTTCTGTTTAGGGCCTTCACGATCGACTTTATCTATGATCTGCGCAGCTGCGTTTCTGGTTATCAAAAGCGACTAAGGGGAGTGGTTCAATCTAGAACTTACTTCAAGAGACTGTGACTTGTTGATACATTTTACATGTTTGAAGTAGTTTTGGTGTCTATTTCAACAATGTTCCCTTAACTTTGTCGTTGCTTGGCAGGCAGCTATTAGCCTTAATGCACGAATTTCACAAACGAATTATTATAATACTGCTTAATGTGCTGAACCAACCACCGACAGCCCAAATCTTTATGAGTGCTTGCAAATGTCTTACAATTAGTCGTTTGGCTGTTTGCAAAACCCAAAAACGCGACGCAGACAGCGCCCCAAAAGTGCCAGAAATATTTTACCATTCACTTTATACAATGGCAGGCAGGCGGTGCCAAATTGAAGCTGCTAACCGTTGCAAACTGTGTAGGGTTTTCCAGATAATATTTTAATGGTTTCATTAGCGTGATGTCCGTCAGGGAGCGATCATGGGTTGACACATAAAAGACTATCCGTTCATGTGCACAACCGTTGAGTGTGGCCGACCTTGAAAACTTCCCTATTACTTCTTTTATAACAGGCTTATGGCCAAGTAAGCCTACAAGCCAACACTCGTACACTCGGGGCCTTCATTGTGCTGCGTTCGGGGCACGGTTCCTTTGTGTAAAGTCCATAATGTTTGGGAGTGTTGCACTTCCAGCAGCAACAAAATCCACACATAATAATGGGCGCGTTAATTGAAAAAATCAAAAAATTATTGTGGCACGGCAAAGGCTTAATTGACACTCAACTTCAATGCATTCAATTATGCTTTTTGATGGTCGTGAGTGGCAAATATTTAAGCTACCATGGAGGGATCTGCTCTTGATTCCGCATTTCCGTTTCACATTCAAAAGAACACTCAAATAATGCAGAAATAGCTGGAAGGACGTCAAAGTTTGTTGTTTTTCTTTACCCTTTTTTTTGTCATTTGATTTGTATTTGGGATTTAGGTGCTTGGCACATGCCACAGTACGTTAATTGACTTGCCCTTGTCAATGCGGTTCGGTTCGGTTCGGTTCGATTTTGGCTACTTGTATGCCAGTCCAGTGATACGCAAAATCCACTCGAATGAGGTGATCGAATGAATGACATGAATAAATTGAACAAACTACGTTTGTGTGTACTTTTGGGGAGCATAAATTGAAAGTAATTTTGGGCCAAGTTGCTACCTTTTGCCGCATGTTGCTGGTTGCCTTTCCAATTTAAATGAACTTAATGAGGTTTTTCGATAAATACATAAACAAAAGAAAAACACACTGACAGCTGTCAACAAAATAGAACGGAACGGAAATAGTTATAACTTCAGTTTTAGCTAAAATGTAGACATAAATGCTGAAATTTGGTTCTGTGTGCATACATTTTGGGGCTTGTCAGGAGACAGGAACATTTGGAGCCATAAATACAATTAAATTCTGATATATTGTGAATGCACTGGCAAAATAAAAGCTACCTAAAAGTAACTCGCTGACCTTCTCGTGCTCTAGCTTGGCGTGACGGTGTCGAATCAGCACTGGGCTGCTGGCCAGCTCTGTGCTACAATTCCCGCTTGGTAAAAACGAGAACGGAGACACAGACGGAGACGGAGATACAGACAGCGAGAAGGGTGGCTGCGGGGCGGATGTGGGTGCTTTAAGCAGTGCAAAAAATGGTCGCTGTCTAGAACAAATTACAAGCACCGGCCAGCACCGGACTTGGCCGCACCACGCCTTAGGTTTATTCGAGTCGAGTAGCTTGTAGTTAATTCTGTTTGAGCATCAAGGTGAGCTCTTGCTTTAACTTTGTTAACGCAACAATTTACAAATCAAAATAAAAACAATTAATCATAGGCCAGTCGAAATTGAAAGGTTCTCGGGAACGATTTGACTGCAACTTTTGGCCGCTGAAACTGGCTGCCCATGCAGAAGTGCATGTGTACATATTTATTTACATATTTACATACTCGTTCGTGGCAGCTGTGGCATGTTTTATAAGTAATTATCTTCAAAACCAGACCAGTTTAGCAGCCACTAACTACGCTCACAAGCTGCCTGGAATCGTACAAGAACTTCATGGCAGACATGCGAGCATAGATTTGCCTAGGAAAGTTCTTGGCACCAACAGTTCTTACATTATTTCCTCTCCTGCCGCTGCTTAGTAATCACTTTGTGATATTATTGTCACACTTCAGCGCTCCAAGTTAAGAAACAACTACCGTGGGTTGTTGAATCAAACCGGATTTGAATGACAAAACTGTATCAGTGCGCTACATTTCGATTTTGAAAAGGCAAAAGCGTATTACCCCTCAAGGTCGTTTCGCCAGCAAGACAATTACCGAGCTGGAAATCAGCAAGTTGGCCATTGGCAGGCCCTCTGCGACTGCCAACAGGATCCAGTTCCGCTTCACGCAATGCGGAAGAAACTAACCACAGCCAGAGCCAGAGCCAGAACTGCGCCAGTTTACTTCCTTAAGTTTCGAGTGTGGACGGTCTCCAAGTATGTAACAGCCACTGGACAAGTTCAAGTGCGTGGCAACTCTGCTCTGATCCGTACAATTTGCTGTGCTTTCGCATTGCACACAATAAAAGAGGGCAGCAGCAGCAATGCATTACAAATTCAATAAGCCTTTCAATGCTCAACGAATGGACATTAGCTAGCTGGCCACCACAATTGTTGGTCTACATTCTGTAGCAAGTTGTGCCGCAACTCTTACTTTTACTCTTTCGGTTTTGTAGTTGTTCATTCGTTGATTCGTTCATGTCTCAACTGCGCTTGGTATTCACTTCATCACTGTAAGTCGTAACCTGAAACAAATTGTAAATCAAAATGCTTGAATGTATTTTTGTTTCGCTCTGTGTGAGGCAATATGCAATTGCTTTGATTTAACCGGGAGCACTTTGAGAGGTCAAGTTTTTGTGTCTCCTTTCTCTCTGCTCACTTCGAATAGAAACCCTACGCTGTGTGTAAATACACATAATAAATATATACATATGGCTTATAGTTAAAGAAATCCTTTACCATTTAAAAGCGCTCAAAATGCATTTACATAATAAAGAAAAAAAGCAACCCCGCAGTACGGAGCAACCCCACGCCCCAATTCGCTGGATTCGCTGTGACCAGAGCGCCAAATTTGGAGCAAATTCGTGAACAGCACGACAGCAGGCGCTAAAGGCGGCGCACGATCCACATAGGCTGCCACAGACAGTAACTTGTAAGCAGATTAATTACCAACTGCTGGTCACGGCAAACATTTGAACAGGCCTAAAAAACTGCAAAAACTTATAACACGACTCCAAAATGGTCTCTAAAATGTTGAGTTCTAATATATAAAACAGATAAAGTAAAGGTAGAGGCATAGCCAGATGTAAACCTTCCCTCCTGGCATTTAATGAGATTTAATAAAACTCGCCATAAATGAGGCGCATTCCTGGCATCGCCTGCCCCACCTTGCAGTGCAATGAATAAGCCAAAATTTCAGATATTTGATCATATCAGAGTGCAATTGAGTTTTGAGTTTACGATTCAATTGATGATACATTGTGTCAAAGCAGCGTTGGCATGCCAAGGTGCGGTTCCATTAGCAATCCCTTTGTGCCACAGAGGACAGAGGCAATGGCGACCATCCAAGCCTATGCAAACTATTCTGCACAATGCACTCCTCCGCACCCAACTGCAGCATTCACGCTCACTCCGAGCTGTTGTCAAACATCTAAGAATATATGGGTGTACATATCTAATATATTTATGTGTACATTGCAGCTTGTGGTGCAAAACTTACATGGTATCTACATCAGTGCTGCTAGAGGTCTCATTTAAACACGGAATCAAAGCATACTTTTGGGTACATGGCACATATGTATGTACCTATGTTCGTTTGTATGTATGAACCATAGCACATTGTTTCAAAGATTAAAATCCGTTCGAATATTGCTCGTACTTGAATTGGTAAACCGAATCTTCGGGAGTTCGTTTAGGCCCGGACTCCGCGACTGTCTGTTGGAATGGGAAACTGCCAGCCTCGAGACATTTCCAGTCATTTGGCTCGGTTTGGGTTTATATTCTTAAAGTCTTAGTTAAGCCTCTCGGTGCTTAGGGCTGTCCTGTGACGCAGCTGTGAGTATTGTAAAGATCCATTGGATAATCTAATCGTAGCATGCACAAGGGTGCCGGTGTGTAGCTTCTGCATATATCGATAATGATCGTGCTGCCCGTGGGCGCTTTTGGCTGCCATGCTCCTATGCCAAGCTATGTACATATGTATGTATATATGTATGTATGTGCACGTATCTAATAAGAGAGTACAAAACCAGTTATTGCATACCTTACGGCGAATGGATGCACATAAATGTGTACATTAGTATGCAGGTACATACTTAAGCAAGCATACATAAATAAGCATTTCTTTACCAATTTATTAGGCTAACTAGAGCAATACTGCCACTGTGAAGAAAATGGTATTTATTCACTTTTAACAGCGGAAATCGTAAAGACACATGTTATGTAAGCACAAATGTAAAAAAAATTACATAATAATGTTGAAGATTAAATTCTAGCTTATCAAGTTGCTCAGAAATGTATGTTACACATGTCTCCCATATGAGTAATCAAAAATGTCTATACAAGCGCTTAAATACATACGAACATACATATGTATGTTTGCATGTGTTTGTACATATTTATGGATGCGGGCGGTCTAATTTTTGGATTCCACCATGACTGAAACAAAGGAAAACGTTTGCCTACTTTTTTGTTTTATAGTAAATATCGATTAGATGTTAGTCAGCGTCTAACTCTCTTTTGATATTGATATATGATTCAGAGATCCTAAAATACTTCCTTGGCTACCCGTCACTTGTTAATTGCACACAGCTAAAAATGCATGCACTTATACGACAAACATACATACATACACACAAATGTACACATATGATTTATCTGCGAAATAGCAACAAAAGGAAAGAAAGATCAGAAGCACCAAAACATAAAGCGACAAATACCCACACGTATGCATGTACTCTCACGCGCCACACCAACACACACACCCATGAACGAAGCAACAACTAGTTTTGGGCAAAATCACCGTCTGGGTTATTTGATATCCATTGGTTAAAGAAACGGTAAACGCGTATACAGTAGCTACTATTAAAATTCAAGCAACTTGTGACTTTTCATATAGATTATATCCATAAATGGCTTCACATTGAGTGACATATTTTGAAACAGCCTTATCTATCCAGATATTCATGCTGTACCCTGGTTAGTGCACACAGGCACAAACATTGAGGCCACACGGACAGAGCGGAAAACTGGCTGTGCGCCATCAAACAGACTGAATACTGAATACCAGGCGTTCACATACACCAATGCACAACAAAAAGAAATAAAAAATTCGTGTAAGTGTGTAACACCAGCAAGAGCAACAGCAACAGCAACAGCAAGAGCGACGTGGAGAGTACAGTAAAGCCGTCTGAGCGCTCGTGTGTGCGTGAAAGAATGCATATGTATGGGCGGGTGGAGAGTGTAACAGCAAACGACGTTTATTTCGCTCATTTTTATTTTGTTGGCTCGTGTGAGCACAAGTGTTAGTGAAATCGTGTGGCAAAAGTTAATTTAAAGCTGGAAAATTTAGCTCATAGACCGCAATGGCCCTATAGAAGCGTTATAGCGAAAAAGAAACACGCGCTGATATCATTTAAACAATATATTTGAGAAAGAAAATTTATTTTCGACCAAAAACATAGCATAGCGAGTGCGGACAACGTCAAAAGAAGAAAGCAAAATGTGAGTTTGAGAGCAAGATCAGTTCCCTCTCAATTTGCTGCTGACTTGCGCTCTCTCCTTCTGTTGCCGCTTTGAATGTGAATAAATACAGTTTGTTATTATTCGTGCGCTCTCTCTCCCGCCTCTCTGTTCCGTAAGCGCACGACTTTCACGAAATTGTAATTGTAAAAATGTTATAGAATTATAGTTTGCAAGGCGAGCCACCATATGCAGTGTGCGTGAATTAGTGAACGTCTTGAGAACAAATCGCGTGTGAGGTGTGAGAGTGAGCGGCTCTGGAGTTAGTTCCGCGCTTGTGTGACATTTAGTAAATGCAATTAACATTGCGAGTGCAATACTTAAACACCTTGAGTGTGAGTGCAACGTGAGACTCTTAAAATGGATGCACAATTTGAGCACTTGTGTCGTATATGTGCGGCCAACACTAAGAGCAAGAACAACTCTGTGGTCGAAAGTGTTTTCATATTCAAGACCCAAGGCTTGAAGGATAAAATATCGCGTCATCTATACCTAAACGTAAGTAAAAAAATAAAAACAAATAAACCTTGAGTTAGTAGCAATTAAATTCAGAAAGTTTGCAAAACCACACCGCGCTAAGGCATTTTTAGTGTGTCTTGGCAGAGAAAATACTAAAATGTTTAGTGCTGCAGCCCTGGTTGTGACTAGTACAGAGCATGGTGTATTTCCTATAAAGGTGATCTCGTCCGACGTTTCAAAACTGAAAACTGAAAATTTGTTGAAGAAACTAATTTTTAATAAATTAATCTCCTTTTAGGTGGCTGAGGAGGATCCACTGCCCAAGGTACTCTGCAAATCCTGCTATCGCCAAGTGGAGGCCACATCGTCGCTTTCAAACATAGCAAAGCACACACAGCTCGTGTTTCGGGACTTTCTACTAAGCACAGTGGTAAGAATAATCGAATCTGTTAACTATGAAACTATTAAGCTTACATAACATAAATTCTTTCAGCCGAAAAATGACCGTGAAGCAACGGCTGCAAGGCTCGACATTTCAATGGAGCAGAGAGCTGACAAAAGAGTGGAAAACCCTTCGGTGACCGATGAATTCCGTCCTATTTTTCTGTCCCGTGCACCTGAGACCACCATGACTGTATCTACGCCCCAGGCGGGCCCCAAAGAACAACATGACGTCGTCGTGGGTGCAAGATTGAAGGATATTCGCATCGAGCCACGAAGGGATCGGCCCCTGGCAGCTCCATCTTCCAGCTACAATAATAGAATGATCAGCATAAACACCGGGACAAGCAACAATACTTTACCAGCGCGGCGCAGCAGCGTTTTTGTTGACACACGTTACGGCTCGGCACCAATGTCGATAGCACAGCGATCGATGCAGCATCCTCCATCCTTGGCGCCACTGCACACTGAAACAAGGACTTTAAAAACAACAAAGCACAGCACGGAACAGAAACAATCGCCGGCAGGCGTGATCAACTTTATTCAGACGCATGGACGTGTCACGGGCAATGCGCCTACTTTCAGTAGCAGCAGCAGTAGCACCAAAAAGGACGATGCAGGACAAAGGGACTCCAACTCCAATCGTACGGATAACAGAAATCTTCATCCTTCTTCCGTGCTTGCTCCGCCCTCTACCAGCAGCGTCGGCATGCCAAATCTACCCAATAGCGTGCTGCTGCAAAAACGAAGAAATCTCAAAAATGCATTAAACAATATAAAAGCCATAAACAGTGGACAGGTATCACTGCTGAAATCGTCCCAAAGTCGACCACCAGTTGAGGACGTTAGACCCGTGGTCACCACTACAGTGGTGCCACACCAATCCCTGTACGGATGTGAGCCATGCGTCGAGGAAGCACTGCCAGAGCACATTATAATAGCGGCACCCAAGAAGAAAAAGGATGGTGGCCACCACATGGCTCAAAAGGTGCCATCCAAACATAAAAAGATTGTTTCAAGTCCAACGAAACCAGCGCCCGTCACACTCGACTTAACCTTAACACCCACCGGTCCAAACCATGCCGTTTCTGGACCAGCTCAATCGATACCCAATGTGAATAGTCTTACGGATGCCATTTCATTGGGCAGTGTTATACGGGATCCTGACTTGTTAAGGCTAATTCTGAAGGCGCTCAAGTGGCCAGTGTCAGAGGGAAACTGTGAAGAGCAAATGACGCGTTTAAAGAACTCAAAGTTTGCGGGTATTATGTCTGACAACAATCTCTTGCAGGACACTGATCTCACCCAGTTGCTGGGCCCGTATTTGGCTCCCATGCTGGCGTTGGCTAAGCAACACGAAAATCAATCGCCAACATCCGTATTCGCATCCAACTCGATGGCTAACTCTTCACAGGCGTCAAACGAGGTTATTAACATTGCTGACTTATCGAGCGCAATGCCATATAAGTTACCTCCGGAAACGTCCGTGCAATTGGTGCCATCTAGTCCCACGGAGCAGGAACCACCACAACTGAGGCACATAAAGACAGTCGAAGTGCCCGCTGTGAAGCGTCCACAACGAAAGATGCGAGCTCGCGAATTAGTTTCCGGGAAGGCTTCGGCCGCAGCAACGACATCGAATGCGGAACGTGTAACCAACGAGCTGCTGAACATCAATTCTATGTTATTATCGCAATTCAGATCGAATACAGCCGATGCGCTAAACGAGGCACTTGTTTCAATGCTAAAGGAACAACAGGAATCAAAAGATCAACAAACTAAAAGTCACCGTCGTCGTAGTGCTTCCATTAGTAATCTCAATTTGGAAGATATTGTGCTGGTCGAGCCGCAACCTGACATACTACTGGACGCTCAAGATGTTTCTGATGTAAGTGATGTAAGCGAGCAACCACAAACATCGTTCACAGCGGAACTACCTGAAACCATAGAGCCAGAACACTCGGTAGAACCTTTGGCACCCATAAAAGGCAATGAAAACGATGTTACCACTGAGCCTAGCATATTTGAGAATGCCGAAACTGATGCAAATATCGATGAGAAATCGCCAGAGCCTCAAGAAGCATTTGAAGAGGCACCCACTAGCACCGTTCCGGAAGCCCCAACCAACGACAGTGTCACACCCAACACCCAGGAGCCAGAACCTGAGACAACTGCAGATGCAGCTACTACAGGTAATTTAAACGATAGCGAAGGTGTCGGCAAAACTGGAGCACGCAAATCGGATGTCAAGTCTGCACTGGGTCAGAAACTGCTAGAGGCAATTGGTCTGCCACAGAGTAACGATGTGCCACCGGAGAGCTCGCGAGATACACTCCGAAGTGCACTGAAACGTTCGCTGAAAAAGGCCCAGGAGCAACAGCAACAATTGAAGCGAGTCAAGCAGGAGGAGCCAGTGAAACAATTTGCAGATTCAACCACAAAGCCGAGTGCTTCTGAATCAGCGGAGGAGCACAAGAAGGCGATAGCTGAGCGAGAGCTGGCGCTGCTGAAACGCAAATCCAAAGTATCCGAAGAGAGTAAAGCAACGACAAAAGAGTGAGTGCTGATGGTTACATATATTAAAATGAAATAAATAAATAATTGTTCACCTTTTTAGTGAAAAATCTGAGCGAACGGATGTAAGCTCTTCCTCGTCGCGGAATCGTCGTAATCGCAAATCCAAAACGGACTTATTGGTGGAAGATTCGGCGGATGAGGAAAAGAAACCCGAGCGTTGGGATGAGGATGATGACTTGCCATTGAAAACGGAAGGGGAGAAAGCCTTAGAAAGGAGCGGCAGCAGTAGCAGCAATCGCCCCGCACGCACCAGCAAGACTATGTCCAAGTATTATAAGGGACCCAGTGGTGAAAAGCCATTAACATCCTCCTCCCTGAAATCACAACACTCAATGGGTACACGATCAACACGGCAACGTTGAGATGTTTGAAATTCACGAACGACTCTGCTTACCTTTCACGTATCAAATACGACCATATATTTTTGGACAAATATAATATATTCTAAGCAGCATTCTCATGCATGATGAATGATCGATGTGTACAATGTACACACGCGAATATATAAAATATCTTATAGTTAAGAGCAGTTACTTTTGCAGCTGAAGCTGGATAACCGCAATGGTGCGAAAATAGTTCAACTATTTGCAAATTTTTATGAATATATACTCTGATTTGGTTTAGTTTCTGCATCATTATAGAGTACATCTTTATGATTTTAAACGTATATTTCAACATCTTATCCAAATAAGGAAATTTCGGTACATACAAAAACTCTGATATAGAAAATAGCTAGGATAAAAATATGCAAGGCGATTATTCAGTTTTTATGAGAAGAAATCGTAACAAAGTTTTCATTTACTATCATTGAACACAACCATCGGAGAAACAGAAGATCAATAATGATTAAGAGCTCATAATGAATGATAGTTGATGTTCTGTATAAGTGCATAAAGAGTTAGTTTGAAGTTTACTATTAAGTTGCTTAGTTTTAACTCTAAATAACCATTCAGATTTAGTTTAAAAAGATCAAAGTTCAATCTGTTAACGGATTAGCACAACAACATTATTGTTTCAGAAATAAATATCAACAATTTCTTTGTGTATTAGGATATGTATGGAACGTACCATATAACACCTAAACTTCAAATAAGTAATATACATATATTTTAAATCTACTGCGTGAAAAAAAGTTCAACTTATTATGCGAGTTCTCGATTTTGAGCTCTCCAAACACCTCAATATCTCGCGTTTCCTGAGCAGCAAAAATTAGCCAGTTCTGCAGTACCAAATAAAGATTCTACAAATACATGGGCACAGGTTGTCTGAGTCAGTTGATGAAAATAAGTAAAACAAAGCAAAAACATTCATCAGTTGGATATGTATCGCGAAGCGCGGCGGTCGTGTCTTATATCTATGGCAAAATAACATTTGCAGCTGAGTGCTCCTCCCGCGTAACGATCAACACTGCTCATCATAACTAAACACAAATTGTTTTTCTTCAAGAGAAAACACACAGAGGCAAAATCAAAACACTTAAAGTTAAATTGCTTTTATCCAGATCTCATTAACTGATAACGACTGTGATTGATGACATACTACACATGTATGTATGATATAATTTCTGTGGGTTCCATATCACAGGTTTACATTTTTTGGATAGTGTGTTGACTAAATTATGAATATCTGCTGTGGAAAGCGAAAGCGTGAAGCGAACTATAGTAGCGATGAAGAACATCAGCAGCAATTTTTACAGGATGAAGTAAGTAAAGTCCACAATTTATGTCATTTGTTGATCAAATAAAGTGTAACATCCCTGGGTTAAGAACTGTCTGATAAACTGATTACGGCACAGTCATCGAAACTTGCAATAGACAACGACTACTGGCTTGTATGTACATATGTACATATTTATAAATATGTATGTATGTACGTGTTAACTATGAGATATGTACATCGCACCCCAATTATAAACCTCGCACCTTATCAAAACGAAAACGTTTGGTTTGTTTTCATTGTGAATGTAAACTTTTAGCATAAAGGTGGCGGCCACCAGCATAGAAACGTAGATACTAGAGAACTGTGCGCACAGAAAAAATATCAACAGACACCAACACATGTCAGCCGATGAGAACTTTTGTATGAATATATACATATGTGTGTATGTGTGCATCCATACAAACTGAGCCCCATCTCTTGCCAAGTCTGCGCTGAATATACCGGAGAGCGAGAGAGAGAAAAGAAAGAGAGCGAAATCGCATCTGCATCGCGAGAAACGTGTAAATTCGCTAACCCGTTTTTTTTTAGTATGACGGCAATAATACTACTAGTCTGTCGCTCCGTTCGCGAACTCCTCGATCTGTCGGATGCATTGTGGCAAAACGCATTTAACATTGAGCGCAGTTTAACCTACTACCACACCAAGCGTCGACTAGAATTGTTTCGATTTCATTGCCGGGAGTTCTGGTTGCGTCAGAACAAAACAAACGCGAAAACCATGCATCGTAGGAGAGATGTTGTTGATTTTGCTGCCATTGAGGCCGGCGCAGAGTGTAACCAAATGATTGAAAATTTCAACGACACAGCCGAGGAACTGCATTTAAGGTTTCAGGAATCGGAGCGTCAGCACCTTCGCCAGCTGGACTATTTGGCTGACATCGAAGTTGTCGACGGCAGTGAGTTCAATGTACGTAATCAGTAAACATATGACAGACCAGCGCTATATTCTTCCATGTGTGTGTCTCTATAGTTATGTACTTGCACGAGCATGTTACATGTTTTAGAATATTAGAACGTACATCTTCATACAAATGTACATTGTAGGTGCGTAAATATGCTGACAAATGTACATACATTCAATTTACTCGTTTTTGCGTTTTACTGTGACATTTAGCGTGCTCTAAAGAGTCTTCTCTCTTTCGCATTTGTTCGCGCACCGCAAAGCTTTGAACAGCTGTTTCACACAGTCATGGCATAAAAAGTGTCGCACTCTTAGCTGTGTTTTCTCCTGGCACATACTTTATATGCTCTTATTGACAAATATATAAGTTTCAGCGATTAAATGTGTATTATCTCACACTGAAGCTCGTCCAGCGGCTCAGGCTTAAGTACGAATATCTGTTCAGTGTCTGTAGACATTCCACATTGAAATTGTATTGTATGGAGGAGCTTTCAGCGCTGTCGCAGTGTTGTTTTGAGCGAGTCATTCGCGAGACGTGAGACAGCCGAAGAAATATAAACAACTTCGGTAGCAGCAGGCAAAACATTTTGTAAATCGAAATAATCAAAAAGTGGCTGTTTTTGATCAAATCAATATAAATAGTTAAATAGTTTTAGCAGGTGTTGTGTTCTAGGGCGTTACTTCCTGGGACATAGATTTTGTGACGCCATAAAATCTCACGACTAGTCGAGGCAATGGGAACCAAAATAAATATATTGTAGTGCCCAAGTTCATACTACATACATAATATGTACAATATATAATTATACTTATATGTACTGCGAACTGTTAGTACAAGGACAGCGTTTGAATCATCATTCAGCTACGTGAAATCAGATACTAATCGAAATATTATTGATTGAAGGAGAAACTCACACTTAGGGGCCTTCCAATAAACACATACACAGATAGCTGTAAATGTTTTTTACTGTTTTTATCGAATGTACCAAGGAATGCACATATTGAAGTACAAAACGGAATTGTTTTTAAAGTTGTAGTCTAGCCTCCCCCTCCCTCTTTAAATAAGGATATTTGAACAATGTGTCTGGGGGTTTTATGTAGAAAACTTCTCTGCTGTTGTGACCAGGCCAAACAAGGCGGGTTGAATGAGGTAAGCAGCAAGTAATTAATATGTACATGTGTGTGTGTGTGTGTGTGTGTGTACATGTGGAACTTCGTTTACTTATAAATAATATGTTTTCATAGGCAAAAGCAAGCAGAAGCATTTGAAAAACAGAAGAAACTTGAACTATGTGCATGCGGTTGTGAAATTGTACAAGTGAGGTTGATTTTTGTAAAGTTTAGTAGGCCTTTTGTTTGTGTTATTTGCAGCTACTTAGTATTGTAACAACAGTTATGCCTATAAATATTGTAACTTCACTTTTTAGGCCTCGTTTTACGAGTACTCAGATGCACTGCCCAAGTACAGCAACGAGCAAATTGGTAAACTGAGCGAAGGAGTTAGCTTCACCATTACTGGCAGAATAGCAATCAACTGCGAAAGGTGAGTAAGTGAGTTACATTTGTTGAACAACCATCTAATGAAAACCTAACCAACCAACAGATTCTCCATTAATTTTGTGTACGCCAATGAGACGCGGGATGTGGCGCTACACATTAATCCACGATTGCCACAGAATTATATCGTGCGAAACAGCAAAGTGGCCGATATATGGGGCAGCGAGGAAGTCTCATCAGCACTGCCCTTTCTACTGCGCAGAGGAGATACATTTGCCATACAAGTTCTCATCACAGACGCCTGCTATATGATCTCGGTGAATGGCAATCACTTTGCTGAGTATGCCCATCGGATTCCTTATGGCGCGGTTCAACTGCTGGAGGTTAAGGGCGATGTGGAAAATGTGGAAATGCAGCGCGTTGTAGTGGAAAACTATCCTCAGCGATTGCCCGAGTCGCAGGCTAAGAAAATTGAGCTGCACATAGTGGAAGGACTGGATGAAATTGATGCCAATGTTGAGGAGGCCATCAATATACCTCCTGATTGGTGCCTCATCAGTGCGCCTGTTACACACACAGACAGTTCCCCCAAGAGTACACACAGCACAGGCGATGCAGGACTCACATTGCCATATTATGGTGCCCTGCCAGCGAACTCTCTATTCGAGGGCAGATGCTTGAAGATCGAAGGACGCGTGCGGCTGCTTCCACATTCTTTCTACATCAACCTGCAGCAGGGCCGGGACATATGGCCACATCCTGTAATAGCATTCCATTTAAATCCACGATTCTCGAAGGCAAGCAGCGGCGCCATAGGGAAAGCTGTGGTCTGCCGCAATGCCTGGTACAATGGCAGCTGGGCGGTCGAGGAACGCTCGGAGTTGGACACAAATTTCCGTCCCGGTCGTACATTCAGCTTGGCCATTGTATGCGCCAGGGAATCATTTGAGGTCTATGTCAACAAGCAGTTTATTACGCAATTTAAATACAAAGTTGGCCCCGAGATAGTGGACACTGTGTACATACAAGGAGATGTTAAGCTATGGAACGTCACACTGGAGCACAATCCAAAGGTTAAGGGCAAGAATATGCGAATCTATCACAATCCCCTGATGGATGATGAATATTAGCGGGAAAACAGCCAGCTGGATGTACATTTTGTTTATTCGTGTCTTTTTTCCACAGTTGTGGAGCGACAATAATATGATAATAAAATGCTAAGCTTGTTTTTTATCGGTAAAAAAGTTTCATTTAATATAAACAGAGAAATTTCAGGCAAAGATCTACTCACATTTCGCTCAATTTATTTTCACTTGTTGTTCGTGGGTTTTTTTGAGTACTTTTCATTTATTTTGCTGTCAAAATCTGTTCAGTTAGCAAACAATTTGATCATGAATTTCCTACCCGGTGCTGCCACAATTGCCCTGCGACGAGACAGGGATGCCATGTCCATGTTTTATGAGGAACGCACTGCGGCCAATCGACGTAAACACTTTAAGCTGCTCGCTCCGCCCAGGCCGGGGCTCAGTTTCTTTTTCCATGGACTCATACTCAATGCATGCGAACATTTTACCATCGATTTCCTGACCTTAGAGGGTAAAGATAGTTGTCATCATTGCGATGTGTTGCTGCAGCTCGGCGCACGATTGCCTCAGAACTATATTGTGCGCAACTCCCGCCTGATGGGCAAGTGGGGAATTGAGGAGAATTCATCGCCACTGCCCTTTCAACTGAGGCGCGGGGATACTTTCTGGATGCAGATACTCCTCACAGTGGAATCGTTTTACATTTCGGTGAATGGCTATCATTTTGCTGAGTACATACATCGCATGCCTTACAGCTGGCTGGAGGCTGTCGATCTGCGTGGGGACATCGATGACATTGTCGTCGATAAATATTATGTGACGGAGTATCCCATCCGCTTGGCCCAATCTGTGGCCCGAGCTCTGCCCTTTGTCTACGATTCTGATGTACTAAAATGGCTCAATGGTGAGGGCCATGGTAAGCTGCAAAACTCTGGCTCCAGGGAGGCCAAATTGGACATTTTCTCCCGACTGCAGAAGGCCACAAGGCAAGTGACAACTAATCTAACACTTCCATTCTACGGCCGTGTGCCAAACCACGAGAAGCTCATCGAGGGACGTGCAGTTCGAATCGAGGGCCGTGTACGCCTGAAGCCACAGAGTTTCAGTGTAGCCCTGCAGCAGGGCCAGCAAATTTGGCCACATCCAACGGTTTCGTTCTATTTTAGTCCAAGTTTCTTGCGCAAAACTCGCGACAAAGTTGGTAGGGTAATCGTAACACGAAGCGCCTATTTGAATGGCTCCCATGTGAAGCGGAAAGCATCGCGGCTGCACACAACCTTGAGACCAGGAAAAGCCTTTGTCATATTGATTGCATGTCGTCCTGACTACTACGAGTTGTTCGTGAACCAAAGACTCTTGCTGTGGTTTAAGCATCAAATGAATCCCGAGTGCGTGGATATTGTGAATATTCGCGGGGATGTTAGGATCTGGGATGTGGTCATCGAGACCACCAGGCTGGGGCAGCGACGAAATGGTGAGTGTTGCATTAAATATTCCACAAAATAGACCTGACCAAACCCCCCACCCCCACCGCCCGCAGGCCGATCAATCATTCAGCGTGCTATCAGAACCCTGCGCCAGGCTCACCTTGAATAATATCTTTAAATGTTACTTTATCTTTCTATGCATTGGAAGGAAACGCAACCTGTCGAAAGACATGTTGTACAAATTTATAAGAGCCACGTCGTCGTCCTTATTGCTGGCGCTCTCCACGAACGAAGAGCCCCGTGTGTGCGTAGATTTATGATTTCATCTTTGGCAAAACGTATACAGCATTTTCTGCAATTAAAATAGATCTGCCCTGGAGTGGTGGGGAGTGCACTGCGCCGCGATCCAACTCATAAATGTCAATGTGCCTGTCGTTGTGCCCATAAGCAGCACGCAGCAGCAGCCCAGGCCGCTCTGAAGAAGGGCCTCGGAAATTGATTATTAAAAACGATAATCGATTAAGGACACAGTTTTGCTGCAGTGCTCGCAGCTCTGTCAGGGTCGTCGTCGTCACTGAGCACCGAGCACCGAGCTGACGTTTATGTCTACATGTGTTTAGCAAGACAGTTGACATTGTTTTGGCATGGCCGGCAAAAAGAGCATCAGCACAAATAATTCAAGCCCAAAACGTCAGCCCTGCGTAAATATTTCCCAGGGCTTGCCAAAGGAAGTAGTCGTCGGCGATTGCCAAGAAAAAAAATATTATTTATGGCTCAACTTTCGTACGTGCTACGCATGCCTTGGATCCATTTTGCTAATGAAGTGGGATTACTTACAGCTGCAATTTAAGGTACAGCCTTTTTGACTGTGGATTTCTAAGGTTGGATATTAATTAATTAATTTCATTGACTAACTTCTCAACTATCGCTTACAAATTTGCGCAAAAACGCGAAACATTTTGGTAACAAATGGCCACAATTTAGCCTCCAACAGCTCTTCAATTTTCCATTTCAAATTCTAATTGCTGTGCCCACCTTTTCGTATTGTTTCTTGTATTCAGGCCGAGCGCCTGTCAGCTTCTGTGTAGTAATTATGTCGTTTGTTGCCTGTCAATTATTAATTTCATATTTCAGTCCCTGCGGCATTTCGATGATCCAATTTCGCATTTTCTGCATACCATCTGAAGTGCGTTGCATCAAAAATGTTTCAGGACTGATTATGCTATTAACTCAATTAAAAAGTTCTTGATGAGAGACCTTTAATCATGTTTAGCGGTTTGTTTTTTCATGATATAATCCTCTTTCGGATGGCTTACTCTCGATTATCGTAAGATCTATTGCAAGTACTCCAGCGACTCCCAACCAGGCATAATTAGGAGCTGTACACAATTTCGGTCCAAAAACAAAAGAGAGACCAATCAAAGCGGTGGAAATTGGGCTGAAGTAAAATGGTAACAAATGCATTCGCACCATTTTACAAGAAGTCGTGGCAGCCGGCAGCCTGCGACGATTAGTGCCGAGCCGCACTTGGCTGGAGCTTATCAATATTCCAACTGTGTGCTGTTGTCACACAGAACACGGAGCGCAATCAATGCGGTGGCAGTGGGTACATTCTACATTAAGCCTCAATTGGGGTTTCGTCCGCTGGCATCGCGGACTGTTGCTGCAGCAGCTGCCAGTGGCAATTGTTTGAAATGGTCAACGGAATGCAACTCGTTTCGCATGCGACGTACTCACCGCATTCTGCGAAAAGCTGAATGCTCCTCGTCGCCATCCGAATTACGTCCAAAAAAAGAAGTTTACGAAAAATTGGTGCGTGGACAGACTGAAAGTCCACGAAATCAATCACCTTTTTTTGTTGCACAGGACACGATTGTGTTGTATATTATATCATGTGCCTGTGCTAATCCCATGGATTCAGGCGACAGTGTCAATTGTCAGAATCAATTACGTGCCATGGAAGTGACAACAGACCTTTTATGTGTACGCTCCGAAGGGGACCTTGAGCTTCCAGAGCCAAGAGAAGTCAAAGTAGTGCACAACTTTCCACTATAAAATTATAAATATGAACTCTAAAATCTTTTAGCTTAGATTTTCGTCAAGCCACGGCTGTCGCTGCCCATTGCTGTCCGCGAATAATTCACCAAAATGGCAAGCTCTGCGGTTCTGCCAAAACCTACGTCCGTTCCTGCTTTCAAAATGCTGCAGGTCTGTGCATGTGTTTGTGTGTGTTCGCCTCCAACTAAGGGACCCACAAACCAACCGAGCGACGGAGCGACCGACCGAGCGACCGACCGAGCGACCGACCGCTGCTCCGACTCTCCATTTCTCAGAATATCGCCCGAGATCAATCTTACACTCGTTTGATTGCATATTTTTATATGGTAGTTGGGAGACATCACATCGTTCGGCTGCTTCCTTTTTCGGCGTTGTCGTCGCCAGCCACGGGACGGACCGTCGGCAAATGGAAGCAGCAGCGGTTCGCGGCAGCAGCGGGTCGCGGCATCGTCGTCGGCGTCGGCATCGGCGTCTGTTTTATTTTGCTACTTGCTTTTGTTTTACAAAAACCCTTTTTTATTTTATTTATATTTCGAAGTTTCGTGGATTTTGCTGCTGTCTACTTTGCTGCTACAATTTTTCGGGAAATTTACCTTTTTTGAGCCATTTCGTGTTCGATTTCTAAGATGTAATTTGGCATAAATACAAATTGAAGTAAAACTCAACCGGGAAAATATCTACATGCATGTGTGTTGCATAGATGTGTATGCATTTCTGTATATGTTTCATTCTCAATGTGGCACATTTGGCCTGAACGCGGCAGACGAGTGGGATGACAAGTGGCGGCGGGGTGCAGGCATGTTGCGTGGATGTGGACGTTGGACGTTGGACACGCTGGCGCCAATTCACTGCGCATGTCTTCCTACATTGCAACCAGGATTAAACTGGATAGCCTTGGTTTGGTTTGCTCTCAATGGGGATGGGAATGGGGCAGTGGCGGTGGCCACAGCTGGTAGCTGGCGCTGCTGATAGGCATCGTGTTGGTCATTCAGCCTTGCTGCTTGATGGCCACTAGGGGGAAAGTATGTGGCTTGCTGGCCACCTCTGCGTGTGTGGGATGGGCTCTTAATACGCTCTGTAAGAGTGACTTCGATGGTGATGCCAGAACCCAGATGTTGCTTTGACATTGCCAAAGATGCGCTGAAACGCTAGAAGTTAAAGCTGCAAAGTCAAATGCTAGATTCATAAACAATTTTCCATGGACCTGCTGTAAACTAGAGTAAAAATTGCATCAGTTTGTTCTATTACGCCGCAGTTCAGACAATCAGAATCTGGTTCAGAGCTGATCATTTCTCAGAATTTATAGATAAATATGCAGTCCGGTATGCCATTCAGCTAATAAAGATATACTCCAATCAATGGGCTACTTTTTTGCATTTGGTTGTGTTGATTTTAGTGCCAAAAAAGTTCATGAAACATTCAGTCCAATGTTGCGTGTCTGAAGTAAATCAAATCAAAGTTCGTTAAGAAATGATTGTTTGAAATTCTTTCACGCAGATGTGAAGACCGAGGGACCTGAAGATAAACAGCAGTGGAGCAGTGCACAAAATATAGCTTTGTGCAGTAAAGAAAGGAATTTCAACGACGCCCCCACCAACTGTTGCGTGCAGTTTTGCATTATCCTTTCCAAAAATAGTCTGCGTTAGCCTAACGGTTCTTCAATTAGTTTAAAAGTTGACTGCGCTGCAACTATTTTGAATTGAATGCTAAACGCGCGGCGCCAAAAGCGACATTTATGCACAGTCGCTGGCGACGAGGAGTGCTCCATCAGATCTGGCGACACTTTTGTGTTGATGTCTGCGCACATGCGCAGTGCTCACCTCGGCACCGGCTGTCTAGCTGTCAATTTAAATGCCCGTCTGCCACGTCAATTACGCACACACAAAGGCACAGACAAACGCTTGTACTTAAATTACCGCAAATTACGTGATAATTGGTCACAGAAGCTAGAAGCCAGAAGCCATTCAATGGTTAGAACTGAGCTCCCAGTATTATAAATATCAGAGTCAGGAAATACCACATGGACCGAGACTATTCCACATTAGATCTTGCTGCATTAAAGCCCAATGCACATGCATAAATAGCTGCAGCCAAGATCCAGTTTATTTCAAATATTTTACGCGACAAACATTTGGCATGCAATGAAGAGTCGCGTCGCGCCGACTAATAGCTTTTGTTTCTTTTTCTACCTTATTCTTTTTGTGTGTGTGTTCTAGCTTGGTCAACGATTGCAATGGTGGCACTGTCGTCTGCTTTTATTTTAAGATTGTCACTTGCGCCATGCAATCTTGGCGCCAATGAATCGTGTGCGCACACACACAGCCACGCACGGGGACTAAATTCCGCCAGCTGTGGAAATCGTTTTATTATATTTATCCCTTTTTGGATGGAAAGCTAGAAAGTAGTTCTACATTGAATAAACACATAATGTTGATGTTTATTGATTATAAGTAAAGGTTAATAAGTGATTAAATATGATATAACGGTACAAGAATTCGATTTCTGCGTCGTTCGTCGTCTGGTCTCGCACACAACCTTTTTCGGCGCTCTCTCGCCCATCGGTTGTCCGCTCTCGCGCTCAATTCGCTCTCCTTCGTTTCCTCTTTGCGTTTTCGCAGTGAAGCGAATTCGCCCTTGCTCGTTTTGGTGTTTTTCCTAGGGATCGCAATTGAATCGCATACTAAATATTTATTTTAAGCCAAATTTAATAAAGTCTCGTGAGCATGAGCACTTTTTCCATATATTTTTTGCTATTTTTAACATAGTAACTACGTACAGACTCACATTTTATACGCACATTAAATGATCAGATCACGCTTTTGGAGCCGCACAGCATGTGACCCCCCCCCCCCCCCCCCCCCCCCCCCCCCCCCCCCCCCCCCGCACGGCACACGCACACCTGCGACAGATGCGACAAATATTTGATGTCTGGCGTACAAGTTAAAGGCAGCAAGCGGCCACAGTTGGAGGGGGTTATTTTTAGACCAAATTCAAATTCAATATTTGCACAACAATTTCTCAGTTTGCTACCCACTAAAACAACATCTCGTCACGACATGCGATGCACCGACTTGCCATAGTTTATTTTATTTTAATTGTTTACACAAACGCTAATTTTTGTTGTTGCGTTCGCTGGCAGACTCCACCAAGCACCCTTACTTGTTCGCTGGCTGGCTGGCTGGCTGGCAGCAGATGTCCATTTGTTTAATGTCTTTGAAGTTGGAGCTGGCAGGCAGCGGCCATCGAAGCTACAGTCGGAGCCTCTGTTTGATTTCGAATGGCTGGGCCACAGGACTGTGTATCGACAAGCAGAAAGAAAGAGTTTTAATGTGAGAATAAATCTTATTAATATCAGCGAACAGCGGCCTGCAGTCGCTTGGCTGCCCTCCTGCCTTTAATTTGTTGTTGTTGTTTGTTTTTTTGTTGCTCTTGAGTTCCCGCCGTTGTGTTGTCGGAATATAAATTAGCTTTGTCGCATTTTAAGTTCATTCTTTTTTGATGATCTTTCGATGATTGCTTCAATTTTTATTTCGATGTCCCAAAAAATTACCTTCTAAAAAGGTAGAACACCAGCCACGTAATGAATTACTATGCCTTTAAGGACAGTCTGCTGTTCATAATCTAAGTCAACCCCATGTAAAATGCCGAATCATTGCAATTCCCCAGTGCCCAGCCATAAAACCCATGGCAAAGTTCAATGAACTTCCGATTTTGCATATGCTACAGAATTGTACTACGGCTAAAACTGCCTTTCATTTATGATTGGAAAACAGCGAATTAAATTTAATTAATTCTAGCTTCATTGATATGCACCTATAGGGCCTTCATTGACAAGTGTAGCCGCTTTTAACGTGAGTTTTGTTCTATAAATGCGCCAACTGGTAGCCGGAGCATTTGAAATAGACAACTGTAATTACATCAGTCAGTTATGACTGTCAGTTAATTGAATAAGAACTAAAATGGATAGTCAAGTATGTAAATTACTTCACATACATGTGTACATGTCCTCTTACTGCTGATTAGTCTCAGCGGAGGAGGAGCTTAGCGTACAGTTATTGCTCGATCGATAAGTAGCAGCAGCGACAGTCTGTCGGCTTGCTGCATGATGCCACGAAGCCCCTCTCATGACTACTCATAAAGCATTCGAATTGCTGAATCATTCTCCCGATGATTGGCACACAAAATAAATACATTTTTGTGCTAATATAATTCGTCGTCTCATTAGCATATTATATAAGTGAGAGGCCGAGAGCTTGACTTCATTTTAAACACCGTTCTATAATCTACTTTATATTCTCTGCTAAGTACGAGCACTTGGAGAAACACCTCGGGCTGGAGTACATTTCAATATGCTGATGTAAACAAGTGTAGGCACAGCCACCTGGCGGCACTAGACGCTGATCGGAGACCGATCTAATTAACCTGTTGCTGATGTAATTTGTGCTGCCCATTGCACTGGGTCAACTAGATGCAAGCCTCCGCCTGCCGTATGCGTCATGGGTACGCCTGCACCATGTTAAGCCAACATCGCTGTTGATATCGCTTAACTTTGTGCCTGCCCTGCTAGATTAGCTGACAAATTTACTTCGGAACCTGATATGGTGTGTGCCAAAACGCGTTTGCTTCGGGTTCGTGTGCACTGAACCGATCGCCTGCCATTCTTTACGCACCTGTTGGGTTTATTATACCACCAACTGGCTTGTTGCAAACCGATAAGATTATTCCAACCCATACACACAGACATAACCTCCATTTCGTGTGCTTTTTTTTTTGTGCCATCTTCTCAGTGCGCTCGCACCCAAGTGACTAATGGGTCAAGCCCACTCTGCACTCATTCTGCACCCCCTGCATACCCTAGTAGATATAAGAGTACATTTGCTTAGACGGTCAGATTTGTATATTTGCTGATCTTATGGCACTTATAATTACAAATAATGTACATTCATTCATGCATACATATAAATATGTACATATTATGTACACGCAACAATGAGATTACAAGTTAAAGACTATTTCAGGTGCTTTACTTGCATTTATGTACATATTTTACTTCACCTGAATAATATAGAATAGTTTTTGTGTATACGTTTAGTGACTTTTTTAGGAATTTGCCGCATTCATGTACAATCGGCTATGTTTATGTAAGTGTACATAAACTGATGTATACATAGTTTGGCATCGATATTATGTACGTTCCCATACTATTATTGTCGTATTATTTTGTTTAACAACTATTGTCTTCTTCAATATTTGTACTGCCCAAAAAGCGCGACTCTAAATTAGGATCACATCGCTGCTACTAGAATCTAAAAATATCAATTACATACACGAATATGTAAGCATAATATGTATGTACATAACTACTTAAGAACTAGCTATAAACAAAGCTTTTGAAACTCGTAAAGCTATGGAAACTAGAACTAAAAACCTACAGCGACTAACAGTAACGTGAGAGTTGTAATCAGTCCCAAAGAAAAGTCTATCAGAGTTTGGTGAATCGTCCTACTCGTCTTTCTTGCGCTTCACCTTGCCCTCTGTCTGAATTGTGGATGTGACAGCCTCGATGCAGTCGGCAATGGAGGGCTCCGACTGATCAGCGCTGTAATCCTCGCCCGCCATGCGGCTGAGTGTAAGTATATAGGAACAAGCCACCCGCAGCACCGACAGCTTGGATAGCTTTTGGGTGCTGGCATAGGCGGGAACCGCATGTCGCAGTGTCTCGTAGGCGGCCGAAATGGTGTGCACTCGGGTCCGCTCCCGGGCATTCGCCTCGATGCGGCGCTCCCTCGTCATGTTCTTGTAATTGCGCTGATGCGAGTGCGGACGCAATGAGGATATATCAGAGCCCGAGCCCACCTTGCTCATGTCCTCGTCGCTAAGGCTAACGTCAATCAATGACGCCGGAATGGTTTCCTTAGCCACCTTCTTGTGAAATGTACTTTTTGGCGTTTGGGCTGTTCTGTTCTTAAGTGTTTTTGTATTGTCTTCTTCAGTGAGCTGCGCTGGTTTCTTGGTCACCAGTGCCAGGGGCTCCTGTTGCTCTGGATGCGCAGCGAAGGCACTGCGATGCAGCGTGGTGACTCCTGGATGACGCACAAACATATGAGCCGGATTGGGCATGATCTCGTGCTCCTGCTCCATGCGCAACGTGGGGGCCACACTTCTGTTGGGTGGCGGTGAGGCTATGGCTGGCGGTGTCAACACCACTGCTGAATCCGCAGACGAGGTATAGCGTATGCGTTTCTTCAGCGGACCCGTTGCAGCGGATGGACAAGCGTGGGCCTGTCCCGACGAGGTTGTCATCGATCCCACCACTTTCGAGGGCTCCGTGCTCTTGCGTTTGTTGCGGATCAGTGCTATGGGCTTGGAGTCCGCAGCTCCGAAATCTTCAGTTCCTTTTGGCCCGATGTTGGGACTGCCACTGCGCGTCGTATGCTCGACGGCCAAATCATCGCCGCCTTCGCTCTCCGAGCTGGCGGAACAAAAACCCGCATCACGGTCATTCGAATTGGGCGAATCTAAAAATACATAATCAAAAGAGTTAAAAAGTTAATAAGTTGTCTTCTATTTGTGACGAAGTATCGGTTGAACCGGTTGCTAAAACTAAGGCTTAGCAAATTCAAAAAAAAAATCCCCCTTTTCGTGGAATTTATGCGGAATAGGGCATGCCGACGCCCCCAAGAGGTTGCTTGGAATAACAACCAAAACATGGATGGTTCAATTTTGGACTGTTAACTGTGGATGTACCTATGTATACACCCGTAGTCCTTTTCCCCCTCTACTTGCACATACATGCACGTACGTATGTAAAAATGTAAAAATGTATATGTACAGCCCCAAAAATGTAAATTCGAAATTTTGCATTGCTCTCGAAAATGAAACCTGTTTGCAGGCCCCGCCGGTATACCACTGACCTCCACAGGTATTTAAAAAGCGTTTAAGCACAGCTCACTTGTTAAAAGTAAATTATTTCGCGTCTGGCGAATGAAGTCAGTTCAAGTTCAGCAGCAGCGGCAGCCGCTGCATCAGAAGCCAACAACCCGGTTGGTAATTAAGAAAAAAAAACAAAACAAAAAAACATGAAACAAGTACTCAGGCAGGATTCATACTATTCATTTTTCTTATCGTTCAATATGTACATAAAATGTATGTAAAATGTACAACATGAAAATATGTACATCAAAATGTAATGTGTGTACTTTTCCGCTTAAAATGGGTTCATCAAAACATCGCGATTATCATCCCACTTTTGTTCCTTCTGATGGAGTTTTGGCAAATGTACATATGTACATATGTATGTATGCATGTACATATATTAGTTTACCGTTTATCTGGTACGAGACAGACACGTATGAGCACGACGGAAGGTATGTTTTTTTGCATGTTGACACAACTATTTATAAGCAAGTTACTTTTGCTATCTTTTCTAATTTTAGACAGACAAACAAACATACGAAATTTTATAGCAACTGACTGACATTGCAGCGACGAAATCAGGCTGTACAAATAACAGCAGTTTTCATATTCATAATTGTATTTCTTATTCAGACAAATGTTTGCTTTAAGCCGACGTCGTCAATGGCGTTGTATAAGCCAAAACACCTGTGCCCGCTATACATACATAGTTACATATGTATATGTATGTGTATATGTATGTACCACATATGAATAGCATCTCGGTTATAAGTAAGTTTTTGGGCATATCTAAGCTATATTTTCCCCTTTCCTTGGTACAAAAATGTTATTTGCTTTGCACTTTTTGAGAAAAAGTAAATTTGGATTTTTTTTTTGCGTGCATCTAAAGAGTTTTTCGACCACAAACCCAAGCCCGAAGTTGTAGTATTAAAATGGCCAACCGTTTGGCCGTAATTGGCCTTTCTTTCTAAGAATGAATGCCCTGATGTGAAAATCAGCTAAAACCTACTTATAAAAGGCAGACACTAACTGTCAGAGGCATCAGAAAATCCCATATTCACGCCAAATGTCAGCCAAAGGTTATCATCATAGGCGGCTTCTGGCTGACGGTCGGTCCACTGGGAAGCGTTCCATGTGTGGGAAGCCTGAGCTTATCAACATACAGACATGTTTACATACATACATATAGGTATCTATAAATTTATAGATGAGCTGTGTAAGTATGTACGACTAAACGGTGTTCGAGTATTGTAGTAAAATGAGGCGTCATTTTTATGAATGAAATACAACAACACAACAATAAACGGTGCATTATGATCGCTTAATTAACCAGAGACTATGGTTGCTCAGCTTTTTTGGTAGCATTATTGTACCCATGTGTGGCACATTTTGTGACAAGAGAAATGCACTTGATGCAGTGCATTGCTGGGTACACCTGAATATACACATGTTTATAAACATGTGTATGTAAATTTGTATACCAATTCCAAGAAGATGCTGAGGAGGTTTGGGTGCAATGATCTCAAAACAGTTTCTTCAAATAAATAAATCATAATTTAATGTGTGTTTTTTGCAAAACGGAAAAAATATAATTTCGCTTAATATTCTGTAGCCATAACTTTGAAGTTATTCGTACAGAAGCTCTCCCAGTCAGCAGCAGTGTTAAATCTCGATGCCAAATGTCCTCAAACCCTGTCTGTCACACACACACACAAATTGCCAATATGTCTGGCGACGTCGCCGTCCTCAATTCACTAGAGCGGGCAAAGTGCCTGTTTGACATATGCGTCACAAAACCCAGGCAGACATACGGCGGCGACAAATAGTTGGCGTTGTTTACGTATCTGTCTGTATCTCAATTGCCTGGCCTGCCGCCTGCCGCCCGCCACCCTCAAAGGACTGTTTCTCTTTTATGATTACGGCCGCTGGTGCGGTGGCTCCACTCCCACCCCTGGATGGCATAGCACATTCCCCCCTTCCATCTGTCATCAGCTTGTCGCCACAGCTTGTTTCGTTTTTCATTTGGAGTTTTTGCACAGCTGGTTTCCCTTTTTTAACTACTTTCCTCATCTGTTAACGTTTCTATTACAGAGATTTCATTTCAGTTCAGAATAACAAATTGGCAGTGACTCAGAATTGGACTTATAACCCGCCCTTGGATAGTTCTGTGACTTGTAACAATATATTTAAATAACATACTACCAGTTGGGGTACATAAGGTGTCCGCTTAAATTGTCTAATTAAAAATGTTGCCGGCAACAGGTGGCAACAGCCCCCCTTAACAACATTTCGTGCCTTCTTACCTTTCATAATGATGGCCGCTAGTTCCGCTGCACTTAATTGCATGAAGAGTTTCTCTGGCTGGGCAACAGCCATAGTCGCAATGGCTATAGAATCACAACCTTGCTTGAAGAGAGCGCGTAATCCACAAAGAACGGGCCTATTCGATGGTAATTGTTTGATTTTCAATAACTGATACGATATCAACGGAAACTAGTTGACATCCGTCTATCATTGACACTTTGTGTTTTATTAAATCATATAATGCTTGGTATTGTCAATAAAATACAGCCCTTGCTATAGGTTTATGTTGAACTTTTAACAGATTATTTGTTGTTTGATTTCCCAATTTTCACGATCACTTTTAAGCACCCACTGGGTTGGGGTTTGCGGAATTAATTCTTTTAAATATTCCTTTTTTTTTTGTCGTAAATTATCCTGCTTCGCTGAGCGCTGGTTTTAAAATGTTTCTTTTTTTTTTTTAAATATAAGTATGGATATTTCAACTGAATTCAGAAGAAAATTATTCAACGCTGTTTCCTTTTCCGCGGCCAAAACATGTTTGCCGCAACGAAGTCTGCTAATATGCCGATATACCATGAATCTTGAGTGCGAAACGAACTTAACCCACTAAACACCCCTGTCTTTAAACATGCGAGCAACATGAGTTTAACAGCGGAAAAAAATGTGTTTGTAAATTCATCTTGCAGATACATTCTTTGTCTTTGCTTTCAAATCTAAAATGAACACGAATAAACACGATAAACAGTTTAAAGTTTCATACTTTTTGTGTTTATGCGGTCGACAATCTTTGGCGCCATCCAAATATCTGTCTTTTCAAATGTTGCTGGGTACCTAAAATGTTGCTGTAAACCTAAAAATGTTGCTGGGGTCCTAAAGATGTTGCTCGGCTATATGTGCATGGAAAACATGCTGCTGGCAATGCATTGCATCCCACCCGATTTGTTAACATAAAACATAAAAACAGCTAAAAAACACTAGAGCTAAGTTTATTTGAAATTGTATTTATGTTCCAAGTATATGAAGATTGTATTTGTTTTTTGTAAGCAAGAGTTTTCAGCGAGAAGAGGTGAAATTAAGATGATGCTAAACACACACAATTTTACCAACTGTTGCAGCAGCGTCATGTGGCTACCATTACCAACCACCCACCCAACCAACCGCATTCCGTGAAGCTGAATATTACTCAGATCTATCCATTCGATGCTGTTACGCCTGGTATTATATTTCAATGGCTGACGCGGCTTCTGTCATTGTCAGGATATCCCCAAAAAACGTTTCACTTTTTATCAGTTTTACCAGCAAGGCGTTTGCGCAGTAGGAGGCAAATGCGTCATACAAGCATACATACATAAATATGTTTGTACATATGTTTCTATGCATTTGTTGATTCTGCTTTTGATGGAACGTGACGTCTTCGGCAATAACTGCAGATTATTAAATGTGTTTTCACGAGTGTGATGCAATTGCCTACCATTAGAAGCTAGCTATACACTTTTGTACAGCGTTAAATTCCTTAATACATACCTATGTAAAAGTAGACTAAATAACAAGGATCCCCAGCTGCCTGTGCCTTCGAGGAATTTATTCGAGAGGCGGCCTGAAGTTAGTGTCATGCGACATGGTCAAGGGTCCAAAAGCAGCCCGACTATTCATTAACATTTTTCCAGTGGCATTAAACGAGTTGCGTCAACATCCAGAAAAAAACAGCTACACCGGTCGGTCTTCACTGGCGACAATGTTCCAATAACTTTGGCCACACGTGATAAGTGCTGCTGCAGCCAGCAGCCTGCCTGCTGTACATGCAACAAGTCAAGCGTATTGCATGTGCGGTGCGTTGTGTTGGTGTCTGGCTAGGGATTTAATTTACGAGGTGGCTTGCAAAAAAAAATAAAAAGAAATTAAACACTGGGCAGCGCCTCATTTGCAGATTTAAGATCTGAAATGGCGTCATCGATAGCACGGGCCTTTCTGCCGTGCTGAGAGTGTCATGTTCGTGATTGAGTTAGCGTGCATTGGAGAATAAGTAAATATCTACACCATTATCCTTGGCCAAATGCACATATGTACATAAATACATACATTTGTACATACACATATGTAAACTCTATGCGTATTGTGTTTAAAAGGAAATAATTCTGGGAAAAAGTTTAAATTTCGCATGATCATGACTTCGCTTCATCTTACGCGGCAGAACGCGGAGAACAAAACCTGCCTCGAAAACGAGGGCCACAACCACTAATATAATATCGTTAGGGTTCCTTGTGTCTGCCCATCCCGTGTGCTCTCAGCAGATGTGTACATACGCTGGGCACGAGTTCGTTGCTGTCGCGCAGAATACTTTTTGAATGATGACTTTCGTTTTTTAGGGACTTGTTCTGCTTTATAAGAATTCGATTGGACAGACAGACAGACAGACAGACAGACAGACTTGCTGGCTAACCTGTTTTCTTGAGCTGGACATCAGGCTTCAGCTCCAGCTCCAGCTCTTGGCAACTTCAACAGCCACCGTTACCGTCGCTGAGGTCGCGATAAAGGTTTTTGGTCGTTTTCTTTTGTCAAGCTGTAGGTTCAAGGATAAGGAGACTACCAAAAGTTTTGTGCGAAATTTGATCTTCCCCTTGAAAATGAAGCTTCTTTTATTTTGCGAGTCCCAGCTAGAATTACTAAAGAATTATTTGGGTACATTTTTTTATGGAATTAGCTAAAGTTGCACTTATTGATTTGGCTTCTGTGCGAAACTCTCAACCAGTCCAGTCTGGCTTCCATACCCTTGCACAATCTCAACTAAAAAATGCTGGCGAAAATTAATGTGTACATTGATGCATGTAAATATGTATGCATTTATGTATCATCATAAAATGATACACTCATTCGCTTACCGCTACCTGTGCTACCTGTGCTACCTGTTCGGAGGTGGCGCTATCCTCGTTCGTGTGTCTAGGTCAAGTCTAAATCGCTAATTGTTTTTAGTCTGCAAATACTAATTTCCGGCCTCAACGTGACCCGCGCACGATTGATACATTTCGGGAATTACCCACCCAGCCAAGACATGTTGAGGGCAGGTAGCACTGACTTCTCGGAATTGTCATATTTAATGCATGATGTTAGTTTTACCTACATAAACGCTTGCACCCGCCAAATCACCCCCCTTGCATACCCTGTAGCAAGATTTTAGCTTCTCATCGAGAAATTACATGCTGCAAATGTGTAACCAGCCAGCCCCAAGCGATGTCCAGCTGTCTGCCATCACTTCAGGGACACCCACTGTTAATAACATTTCTTTTATGCATGTACATAACGTTCTCGTAATTTGCACATGTTCGTAAATGTGACGTAACGAGCCCATCTATCGTTCAAGTGACATTCAGCACGAAGGGTGCATTGCAGCCGAACGCCCGACTGCCCTGTCACGTGTGCGTGGCCATTCCGCTTCCCCCCTGCTGTACCACAAACTGTTTTTGTTCGTCATTTGGGGAAGGCTAAACTCTGTTACACCATTTTAAGCATCAACTTCCTTCAATCTGTTAAACATCTTTGTTTTTTTTTTGTGTGTGGTTCATTGTCAATTCATAAGGAAATGGTGTGAAAGGATTGCTTACAACAACAGACTTCAAACAATTTATTTACAGAAGCGCAGAGCTGAGCCACATGGGCACATCCAGGCACACATGGACACTGCCTGGGGACACAGCACTTGAGTCCGTACTACTGTGCCAACACATGTGTTCGCCGGGTCCCCGCCGCCTTGCGACCTTCAGCGGCGTCAGTCAGCCTGATTTGCGATTTTTCATGGAAACTGCACTGTCGGCGACTAATGGCACATATGGTGACCAGAATGGGCAGGATAGGAAAGGAAAGGAACGTATGTACGAGCATCCTTAAATGCAAAATGTGTGAAATTTGGCGACATAGTGTCTTCACATGACTTTTGTTCATACTGTAAAAGTCGTTGCGTGGGAATTTATTTGGGAAATTCTCTTCTTTTTTTTTTTTGTAGCTGCTGGGAAATGTTGGGTTTGCGCACATCTGGAACTGGTCTAAGCTGCTGGCTAACTCCCACCTAACGTAACAGCAGGTGACTGAGAAACAGTCTGGGAAATAACTTTAAACTCAAGGCAACGAAGGAACGCTTCCCAATTAAATATCTAAATATATGTATGTGTACGACGGTTGTTAGGATCCAGGCAAAGTTCCTTCAAAGCGTGACAGCCGCAAGCCATTGGCAATCAAATGCATGCGTGCGTGCAATCCATACCCATAAAACACAATTAGATACTAAAATGTACGCTATTAATGTCAAAAAGTTCCAAATCAGAGCTGCTGGCGAGACAGACACAACAACCCCCCCACAACTGCAATTTGTGAACTCTTTTTTTGTTGCACGCAATAAGAAGAAGCCAAAGAGAACATTTAATGAGTCCAGCAGAAGAAACAAAAAAAAAAAAAAACGAAATCGCAACTCAATTTCCCACGCTTCTTGGTACGAGAAACACCCGCAAGCGCAACAGCAAAAATGTAAGCAACGCGTTTGCATCTTCATGACCGACACTGTGCGCCCCCCAGTCACATACTCGCACACACACACACACACACACACACACACACACATAATTCTTATAAGGGAAATTATACAGAAGCAATACGGCAGCAGGGAATTGTTAATATGAAAATCGAGATCGCTCTGGGCAGAAGTGCCATCAGGTTGGAGACCCCAGGAGGAGGAGGATAAGTTACTTAACAGAATGCCTTGGCATGTGGTGGTGCATGGGTACTGCATTTGCCACGAATCTTTCTATTAATACAACGGGTGTGTGGGCCACACTTGGTTTGTCACTCATGCCGAGTTCTGCCTAGAACCGAACACACATCCATAAGACAGGTTAAAGTTAGTCACCAAAGAAAGTTTTGGCCAGGCAAGCGGCAGAATCGCATTAGGGTTTTGGTGATGGCCTGTACCTGTCTTCGTGTTGACCTTTAGCTGCACTTCCTGCTATTTAACCATTCGTATACATTGGGCACTTTTCAAATATCCTTGGTCATAAAATTGCATTGTTCTCTTGGCCTTTTGTTGTATAGGATTTTTGTACATTTTTGCAGTCAACACACAAAGAGCCAGACAGAAGACGATTTTGTTAATTTTTGACTGGCGCCAGACGCACAGCTGGTGGTTGCCTTGGCCTCGGACTATGTGCGCTGAGTCTGCTGTGTCATAAATGCAATGCAAATAAGTAAAATAACCACCGATACCGGTCCAGCAGTGGTGGCATCCACCATGTCGACCAGATGCCTTGCAGTTGTCGCGCGCTGACGTTGACACATGCCACACAACAGCGTATGGCGATGGACACAGACACAGACACAGACACGGACACGGACTATTGGCCACTCCACTCCACTCCACTCCACTCATTTGCCAATGTTGGCGCATTCGCCACTTCCACTTGTCGGCGTCGCATCAACATCAACTGGTTTGAATTCTTCATTTGCGTGCTGAACACATCTGTTGCCAAGTTTATGGGGAA